CAGAATTTGAAGAAGGAAAAATGAGTGTTACTGAATACGCTGCTAGTTTACTGAAAAGATGAAGCTTATTCCATACTTAGTTCCAACTGAACTCTCTAAGGTCAATAAGTTTGCAGAAGGTTTACCAGCGGATTTTGGTCCAATGGTTATGCAAGGAACCACATTGAAAGCCACCATCTGGGCTGCTAAGAATGTTGAGACCCAGATCAGGGAGAAGGGTCTGGAGAGGACAGATGTTGGTGAGAAGAGGAAGTTTGACGGACCATCAAGGCCCAACAAGAAAAGTAAATTCTCGAAGTCTGGTTCGAGAGGAGTAGGAGGAGAAGCAAAATGGTGCGACAAGTGTAAGAAGAAACATGCTGGGAAATGTGGCGAAGAGGTTACATGTTTTAAATGTGGAAAGCATGGTCATTATGCCAATGAATGCACCCTCATCAAGAAAGTTTGCTATGGGTGTGGTGAGGAAGGGCACATCTCAAGGGACTGCCCAAAGAAGAAAGGGGAAGCAAGGCCTAATCTCCCACCAAAGCCAAAAGCTAGAGCCTTCCAAATGACACTTGAAGCTGCAAAGGAGGAAGTGGATGTCGCTTCAGGTACTTTTCTCGTAAACGAATTGCCTGCCCAAATTTTGTTTGATTCTGGAGCCAACTACTCCTTTATTTCTCATGAATTTGGTAGAAAACTAGCTTTGCCTATCAATAGACTAGATAATGCTTTAATAGTCGAGGTTGCTAGTGGCAAGTTCGTACCTATTAGTGATCGTATTATGAACATCGTCATCGACTTAAATGGAAACGAATTCCATGAGGAGCTATTACCCATAGAGTTGAATGGTTTCGACATCGTTTTGGGAATGGATTGGCTTAGTGCCAGTGATGCTAAGATTCTTTGCAAGAAGAAGATAGTAAGGGTGAACCCACCCAGAAAAGAGTCATTTATGGTGTATGGGGACAAACGCCAAGTGAGTTCTGGAATCATCTCCACAATGAAAGCCAGAAAATGTTTGGTCAAGGGATGTGCATCATATCTAGCGTTTGTGATCGATGCTAAGAAGGAAAACAAGGAGGTGTAGGAGATACCAGTGGTGTGTTACTTTCCGGAAGTCTTTCCCGAAGATCTTCCCGGATTACCCCTGATAGACAAGTAGAGTTTAGAATAGACTTGTTACCAGGAACAACACCAATAGCAAAAGCACCATACTGATTAGCACCAATGGAGATGAAGGAACTTATGACACAACTTCAGGAATTATTGGACAAAGGTTTCATTAGACCTAGTTCATCGCCATGGGGAGCTCCGATGTTATTCGTAAAGAAAAAGGATGGGAGCATGAGAATGTGCATTGATTACAGAGAGATGAACAAAGTAACGATAAAGAACAAGTACTTGTTGCCAAGGATCGATGACCTGTTCGACCAGTTACAGGGTTCGAGCTATTTCTCGAAGATCGATCATAGGTCGGGATACCATCAAATAAAGGTGAGAGAGCAGGATATCGAAAAGACTGCGTTTAGAACAAGATATGGACACTATGAATTTTTGGTTATGTCGTTCGGACTAACCAATGCCCCAGCAGCTTTCATGGATTTGATGAATAGGGTTTGTAAACCATTCCTAGATAAATCCGTGATAGTATTCATAGACGACATCTTGATTTATTCGAAAAGCAAGCAGGAGCATGAAAAGCATCTGTGTGAAGTACTAGAAGTCCTGAAAAAGGAGAAGTTGTATGCAAAGTTGTCCAAATGTGAATTTTGGATTCAAGAAGTCCAATTCTTGGGTCATGTGGTCAACCAAGATGGGATAATGGTTGATCCAGCAAAGATTGAAGCTGTGATGAAATGGGAACAACCAAAAAGCCCTACGGAGATCCGAAGCTTTTTAGGATTAGCTGGATATTACCGAAGGTTTATACAAGGCTTTTCTTCGATAGCTGCTCCATTGACAGCCTTGACCCACAAAGGAGCTACTTATACTTGGAGTGAAAAGCATAAGGAAGCCTTTGAGAAATTGAAGAAGAAATTATGTGAAGCACCAATTCTTTCTTTACCCGAAGGAGTTGAAGACTTCGCAGTCTATAGTGATGCATCAAGAGTTGGGTTAGGTTGTGTTCCGACCCAGCGGGATAAAGTGATAGCATATGCATCAAGACAACTGAAGGAGCATGAAAAGAACTACCCTACTCATGATTCGGAGTTTGCAGCGGTAGTTTTCGATTTAAAAATATGGAGACATTACCTCTATGGCACGAAGTGCAAACTTTTCACTGATCATAAGAGTCTCCAGTATCTCTTTAATCAGAAGGAAGTGAATATGAGGCAACGATGCTGGCTGGAATTACTCAAGGACTACGAATGTGAGATACTTTATCACCCTGGTAAAGCAAATGTTGTTGCTGATGCTCTCAGTCGGAAAGTCAACCTTGAAAAGAAAAGGCCAAGAGCGTTGAGAATTGAGGTTGTCTCAACAATTGTGTAGAGTATAAAGAAAGCTCAAAAAGAAGATTTAGAGAAGAATGACCGAAAAGAAGAACGCTTGGGCAAGACATTAGTATTCGGTACAAACAACCAAGGGGTGAAGGTATTCCAAGATAGGATTTGGGTACCTAAGACGGGAGGAGTAAGAGATGTTCTAATGGAAAAAGCTCACAAGACCATGTACTCGATTCATCCGGGTAGTACAAAAATGTATAGGGATTTAAAACCCTATTATTGGTGGCCAACGATGAAGCTCGATGTTGCTAAGTATGTGGTCAAGTATGTGACATGTGCAAGAGTCAAGGCACAACATCAGAAATCGTATGGGAGTTTAGAACCTTTACCTGTACCCATGGGTAAATAGGAAGACATAACCATGGATTTTGTGACTAAACTACCCAGAACAAAGAGCGGTCACGACATGATTTGGGTGGTCGTGGATCGTTTCACCAAGAGTGCACACTTCATAGTAGCCAATGAAAAATGGTCTATGGATAAGCTTGCGAATGCTTACGTGAAGGAAATTATGATACTTCACGGTGTTCCTCTAACAATTGTATCAGATCGTGATAGTCGTTTCACCTCACGAATTTTGGAAAAGTCTACAAGAGGAAATGGGTACCAAGTTGTGTTTAAGTACAGCTTACCATCCACAAACTGATGGTCAGAGCGAAAGAAAAATACAAACCCTTGAAGATATGCTGAGAGCATGTACCCTGGAATTCCAAGGTAACTGTGATGAACATTTACGTTTAGTAGAATTTTCCTACAACAATAGTTTCCACTCGAGCATAAAGATGGCACCTTATCACGGTTTGTATGGACATAAGTGTCATACGCCGTCTTGCTGGCTTGAAGCTGGAGAAAAGCAGTTTATGGGACTTGAGATAGTCCATCAGACTGCTGAAAAGTTGAAAGTGATTAGGGAAAAGATGCTAGCAGCTCAGGATCATCAAAAGAGCTATGCTGACAAGAAAAGAAAATCGATAACATTCGAAGTTGGTGATTCGGTTTTGCTTAAAGTCTCACCGTGAAAGGGACTTATAAGATTTGGTAAAAGAGGAAAGTTGAGTCCAAGGTTTATTAGACCATTTAAAGTTCTTCATAGGATTGGGAATCAAGCTTACAAGCTAGAACTACTAGAAAAACTAGATGGTATTCACAACACTTTCCATGTGTGTTATTTAAGGAAGTTCACGGGAGATGTTCCCAACATAATTCCAATATCTGAGTTAGGGCTGGATGAAAGCAAGAGGTTAATCGAAGAACCGGAGGCAATAGTTGACCGTAAGACTAAAAAGTTGCGACGCAAGATGGTCGATTTAGTGCTTGTGCAATGGAAACATATGAATGGGCCAAATCTCACCTGGGAAACGGAGAGTGACATGATGAGTCGCTACCCGCATTTGTTTGCTGATATGTGATTCCGGGGACGGAATCATCCTAAGAGGGAGAGAATTGTAACGCTCGTGTTTCTGGGCTAAAAGCATTAATAATGTTGTAATAGTCTACGTCAACCTTTGTAACTCATTTTGAAGTAATAAAGAGGAATTATGTGAATATCATGTGTGAATTATATGCTTATTTGCTTAATTATTATGATTTAATTAATTAATAATGAAAATAAGCATTGAAAATAAATATTAGAAAAAGCCGATATCTTTTAAGAAAGTTGTAGTGGCCGAAACAAGGATTCCAGAGATATAAAGAACGCCGAAATCCGAGTTATAACGAAGAAGTTATGACCTGTCGAAGTTTCGGGACGGAACCGGCACGGCAGCGGGAAGCGTAAAAAATGAATTTATGATAAAGTGCTTTTTTATAACAAACCGTTATTTCAAACCTATGTAATAGTATAGGTCAATTTGTACTTCTTTGTAAATTAATAAAGAGAAATTTTAGCATACTATGTTAATTTACATAATTGACCCTCAAAAATGAATTATTAAATAATATCAATTGGGATAAACCAAGTGATAGAGATTGTAACAAGGTTTCCAAAAATATAAAGAACACTAAAATCCGAGTTATAACGAAGAAGTTACGAACAATCGAAAATCCGCGACAAAACCGGCAAAACACTGTTCAGTGTAAAAACTGAAATTTTGATAACAGACTTTCTAGCCTTAACAATCTAAATGAAAGTTATAGTTTATGTTACATCGAGAACTTTCATAAAAAGAACGCCAAAATCTGACTTCGTATGAGGAAGTTATGATTTTTCGAAGTTTCAGTATAGCAGTGTACAACTAAAAACTCGAAATAAAGATCGAGTGGTTTTTAGCCGACACAACCTAAACGAGAATTGAAGGTCTCATCATTAGTAGTACAACGGTAAAAAGACAGACAAAAACGGACGTCGTATCAAGAAGTTATGAATTTATAACGGATTCACGTCCCGGTCTGTTTAAAATAATAATATTAAAAATAATATCAAAATTAGCTGACAAAGTCTAAACA